TATCACTAATAATATTAATATTGATCACCTGGTCAAGGTTCTGTTTACCAGGTTTCTACAGTGTAAAACTAATTTTCCTCCCTTTCTGTACTCTATTCTTTGGAAGCAAGTTACTAAGTACAACCCATACTCAAGAAGAGTGGAGGGAGTTAAGCTCCCTCTCCTGGAAGGGGAATATCTACGTAAATTATTTGTAATTTTCTGTATGGAAGATTTGTCTCTTCTCTTTTATATATTTAAAAAAAATTTTTTTTTCAACGTTTATTTATTTTTGGGACAGAGAGAGACAGAGCATGAACGGGGGAGGGGCAGAGAGAGAGGGAGACACAGAATCGGAAACAGGCTCCAGGCTCTGAGCCATCAGCCCAGAGCCTGACGCGGGGCTCGAACTCACGGACTGCGAGATCGTGACCTGGCTGAAGTCGGACGCTTAACCGACTGCGCCACCCAGGCGCCCCTCTTTTATATATTTATTCAATCAGTTATTTATGTAAGTAATAGCCAATTCTTCAAGATCAATTTTATTATTATAAAAATAACCATTCTACATCCCCTAATGTGATATAATAGGAAGCAAACCATACCATGTAGGGAATATTTCTGCTTCCCTCATTTCCTCAAAGAAAAGTTGAACTTCAATCTGTCAAGCCTCAAAAGCTAACAGTTTATAGGAAAAGCTGTAAAGATGTACCCCAGGATCCCCCAGTAACCATGCGATCTACCATGACGTGAAGCCATAGATAGCAACTGAGACTTGGGAGAGAAATGAAAAATCCTAAACCTCCATAAATCCCTGGATCCAGTCAACTATGAGGCCAGTTCTTTCCCTAACCTTCCACGGTTTGGTTATACCAATCAAACAAGCAATTCTTTCTTGCTTGTGCTGGACTGAGTTGGGCTTCTTACTTACAACCAAAGAGAACTAACAACAAATATAATAAATACAAATAAGGAAAGGGATGGGAGCAAAAATCAGTTCAGGATATTGAGAAATAGGAAACAGGCTGAAGAGCTAATGTAAAGCCAGATTTTAGGTGAGGTATTTTGTTTTGTTTTGTTTTTAACTTGGTAGAATTTATTTGCTTTTAAAATTTAATGGTCTGGGGCGCCTGGGTGGCGCAGTCGGTTAAGCGTCCGACTTCAGCCAGGTCACGATCTCGCGGTCCGTGAGTTCGAGCCCCGCGTCGGGCTCTGGGCTGATGGCTCAGAGCCTGGAGCCTGTTTCCGATTCTGTGTCTCCCTCTCTCTCTGCCCCTCCCCCGTTCATGCTCTGTCTCTCTCTGTCCCAAAAATAAATAAACGTTGAAAAAAAAATTTTTTTTAAAATTTAATGGTCTAACTAGTTTTGGTAGTGTTAACCATGGGGTTCAATTTTTAGCACATAATATTTGGTCACATACTGATCATTTATAATTTTGGAAATGTTACTTTTCATCTAACATAACTAAGGCCTAAAATGAATAAATTATTCTTCCAAACTCATACATCTAAGGTAGACATACAAGAAGCACTGTGCAACAAAAATGAAACAGGCTATGGAGCCAGATAAGACCAGGTTTGTTCCCTAGTTCCCTCACTCATCCATTGCTTTTTATTTTTGATATAATTTTTAAATACATATCACACAGACATAATAAAAAACTTCAACAATTTACACTGGGAAAAGTAAGCCTTTTTCCTATCCCAATAAGCCCTCCTTCCCCTCCCTTTGCTAACCACTATTACAACTTCTTGGGTACTCTTTAGAGATAGTCTATTCAAGAATATTGAAGACTTGACCTTTTAGACTTCAAGACATATGATGATCACTAAAAATTTTAAAGCTACTGAATGGTACCAGAAGGATTGCGGTTGGGAAGGCAAGATAAAAGTGGAGCTAAAGAGAAAGCAGTACCTATGAGACACTCCACCTTGCAGCACTGGTGTTTAAAAAGACAACATAATAGGGGCACCTCAGTGGCTCAGTCCGTTAAACATCTGACTTCGGCTCAGGTCATGATCTTGCAGTTGTGAGTTCGAGCCCCATGTTAGGCTCTGTCCTGACAGCTCAGAGCTTGAACCCTGCTTCAGATTCTGTGTCTCCCTCTCTCTTTCTGCCCCTCCCCTGCACGTGCTCTGTCTCTCGCTGCCTCTCAAAAATAAATGTTAAAATTTTTTTTTTAAAGACAACACAATAAAATTAAAAACAAAAACAACTTTTAAAGATCAAATAATGCTCCTTAAAAGGCATGATTAGTTAAGGTTTCTAAGAGGTATATACAAGCACCTATTCTATTATCCATTCTTCTTGTCTAGAATTCTCATGGGATATTCTTGACTATACTGTAGTGAAGAATGGGTAGGGGACTGGTATAGCAGTGGCAGCCAATATGTCCTGGACATTTAATGAAGAAAACTTGTTCCCATCTTCTAGTCCTGATAGTGTCATTTTTATTCTAAATGTTTCATGGTGAGAAAGATTATAAACAATTGGGACTAGAAAGAAAGCACTGAGATTAGTAACACAAAATCAAGACGGATGGAATAAGCAAAACGGGAATGACGTAACCCAAGAACAAGTTTAGTTGGCAGTTAGAGGAATATACAAGAAGTACCCCTTATCATCTATAATAAAGTAAAAATCTTTTCTCTTTTGAATTTTATCCACTAAATACCTGATTTAAGAAGGAATGGATGAGATGCATATTGTTCTCAACAGAAGTTAGGAATTTTAAAGTTCCCATGGAAAAAAAAAATCTCTTGGCATAAGTAACATATTAGAGATAGGAAGAATTAAGTCAATTATTGAGTATACACTGTAACAAAGACTCATACACTTTTAGGAGTAGAAAGCAGATCTCATTTCAGACTTGAAATCAGAAATATTTTTTCAGGCTTATTTTTGAACTCTCTGAAAAAGTTCATCTAGATTCCCAGAGCAATGGCATAACCATTGCAACATTTAAATATTCAAGTCGTAAGAAAGTGAGTAATACCTCTAATGGAAATGGAACATAACTTTGGTATATTTTTAACAAGTGTTAAAGGATAATGTGAATTACATGTTCTTTTGACCAATTTCTTAAAATAGTTACACAGGAAATAAATTATAATTAGGCTGCATTTACAAAAGTAGGAAATGTCTTAATCATTAGGATTATTCAAAGTGAATTTTATTACCTATCAAATTATTTTTAACAGAAGATGATCAGAAAACAGCTGTAAAATATAATGAAAGACAAAATATATGCTGTGTCACATACCTATGCTTGTTTAAATACAACTTAGATTGAATACATTAAATAGATGAGATCCTGTCATTCTGCATTATTTTTTCCTCTTTCAAATCAGGAAAGCAGGAAAAATAAGCATGGAACAGTTTATAAAAATTATTTTTCCCTCTACTAACAGTTGCTGGTAGTCTCTTAGGAATAGGGAGTACCATTTGTACCTGCTTTCTCATTTGCATAAAGTTATCCTCCAAAGACGTCAATGGATTAAAAGATAGACTCAGTTTTTCAAAAGTACATGTTTTCCACACTTCAGACATACAATGAATACTCAGACTGTATTTGTGGTCATTTAAATTTTAATCTAAGAAATGGTGACTATGGTTTTTAAATTAAAAAAAATTCTACCATCTGTTTTAATAAATCAATTTTCTGCTTGTGTGCAAAGTTAAGGACTATATTATTACTATAGTCACAGAGATATTCAGATGTGGTTTTCTTAGAGATGATTTCATTTCTCTGACCTGTCAAGTAAATACCTGAAACAACACCAAAAATGGTCAAAAACCATTTATATACTATAAAGTGAAATCAAGGAACATCTGACCATGAAAAAAAATCAACTGATAGAATTACTAACAAGAATATATACATAACAGAATAGCAAAGCTTTCAAGTTAGTACCTAAAGAAGTGAAAATAACACTAACATTTTATTAGTACTTCCCTCAATATTAGAAGATATTTTATAGTAGTACCTCCCAATTCTAAAAGGTTTGTAAAATCTGGTATTGGAGTCTTTTTTTAAAAAAAAATTATTAAAAAAAAATTTTTTTTAATCTTTATTTTTGAGAGAGACAGAGCATGAGCGGGGGAAGGGCACAGAGATGGAGACACAAAATCCAAAGCAGGCTCCAGGCTCTGAGCTGTCAGCACAAAGTCCCACACGGGGCTCAAACTCACAAACCACAAGATCATGACCTGAGCTGAAGTCAGGACATTTAACTGACTGAGCCACCCAGGCACCCCTTAAAAAAAGTTTTTTTTAATGCTTATTCATTTTTTGAAAGACAGAGAGATAGACAGAACGTGAGGCGGGGAAGGGCAGAGAGAGAGGGAGACACAGAATCCAAAGCAGGCTCCAGACTTTGAGCTGTTAGCACAGAACATCCCCACTTTGGAGTGGGGCTTGAACTCACAAACTGCGAGATCATGACCTGTGCCAAAGTCAGCAACTTAAGTCCAGGTGTTCCTGGAGTCTTAAAAAAAAGAAAACCAACCAATAACCCTAGGAAGTTACGTGTGGGTGGTGCTACTTGTGATGGTGAATGGTAAGAGTAGCATATGATCCACAAGTATAAACTACAGAATCACAGCTAACCTCATAATTTCCATAATTCCTAAATACCTTCAGACATGGTTTCAGGATGTTTTTAATAAAGATTGGAGTGTTACACCACTTTTCCCTAAAATTTTAAGCTTACATGTGGTAACCTTTTGGGGTGTGTGTGTGTGTGTGTGTGTGTGTGTGCGCGCGCGCGCATGCACACGCAGACACAAATTAGGATACTAAAGCCAAATAATATACTTCCTTCATGCAAATAGTATTTTCAATCTACTGCAATATATTTTACATCCTTATAATCGCCAGACATGACTGGATTCACTCACAACAAACCTATGGGTTGTCTTTTAAATAGCTAGATCTGAAAAAGCACTGCCAAACACCGACTTATTATTCTTAAAATCATCAAGTATTTTCTAGAATAAAGATGGTTACAATAACACTTACCTCAGTCTTTTTACTAAGGTGATCTGTAAATGAAAAAAAAATGGTGACATTTCACTGAAGAAAATTAACAATAATATTAATACTTTATTAATATTAATAATTAATACCCAGTATGTAAAAATATTCAAACAAAGTAATTGAGAAGACTTTCAAAATTATAATAAGAGTTAAAGAAGTCATTTGGGGGTTGTCTAAAATATCAGATTTCTTCTCTAGGGATAAGATGTTAAATTTCAACACATAATTACTAATTTGCTCAGCTTAGGGACTACGTTTTATATCCCAGTAAATGCCACCCATACCACAGGGTATTATTAAATTTTACACATTTGAATTCCAAATAATAAGGTTTTTGGTTAAACAATTTTTTTTTGGCCAAAGAGGTGAACAAATATATCTAAAATCAAATCACAGGGTATTATAACTGCAAAATTGTACAGATCACTGCCTTTGTGGGGGGAAAAAAGTAAAAGAGTAATTTGGGTCCTTTAAACCTCTTAGTTTGTTTTAAAAAATTTTTTTTTTAACGTTTTATTTATTTTTGAGACAGAGAGAGACAGAGCATGAATGGGGGAGGGGCAGAGAGAGAGGGAGACACAGAATCGGAAACAGGCTCCAGGCTCTGAGCCATCAGCCCAGAGCCCGACGCGGGGCTCGAACCCACGGACCGTGAGATCGTGACCTGAGCTGAAGTCGGTCGCTTAACCAACTGAGCCACCCAGGCGCCCCAGTTTGTTTTAAAAATATACATCATAGTGCTTTGATAATACTATAAAAAAATCTTAAAAAGTGACATATATTTTATAAAATGAATACAAAAAAGAAGGCAATAAGAAAAATATCCAGATCCACAAATCATTGACTTAGTAACAACACAGCATTTTTGGAAAAGGATTACAGAATGAAGAAAAAAAAGACATAAGGGAGTCCACACAGATACAAGGCTGAAACTCAAGTACAAAGAGGGAGCAAGAGGTCTTATTTAAATTAGAGATAATCAGGATATCTAATATCTAACATTGCTTCTTATGAACAGCAGAAATTTTCTATTCTCAAGGACTAACAATAATTTAATAGAATAGCATTCTTATGACTGAGAATTTAAAAGCTGGCCCAGTTCTCTAAAGCATTTGTTGATCGGAACAGAGTCTACAAGTATGGTAAATGTCAAAATCACAAGTTTCAGCTCAAACTACCAAATCCTATTTATTTCTAATTTCCTACTTATTCCTAACATCAAAGTCATTCTTCTAGTGTGTTCTACTTAGCATACAATGAGATGCAAGAAACTGAGGAATAATCATAACTTTTTAAATCATAGCCTGAAATAGTTGTCTAGCTTCCCCAGAACAGTATCATATTGATGTCTTTCTCAATCCATTTAATAAATTTACATAGTACTTATAATCAAACATATGAAAAATAAAGTTTTAAAAAGCTTTCTTTTCATGTTTCTGACTAGTTTTTAATAATACATCTTATATAAAATCTTTCTTACCAAAACTGAAAACTCTAACATACACCTGTTTCTTTTAACCTCAAATAAGAAACTTAACATACATCTCTTCTTTTAACCCCTAAACAAACAAACAAAAAAAACCACTTAATAAGAGAGGCAGACTATAGGAAAAACTGTCTTGATCCTTACACCAAAGCAAAACAATGCTCTAAATGTATTCCAAATTTCACAGATAGGCTTGTTTCTGAAAATGGTAAAGTATTTCACTGTATTTTTCTTTTTAGATTATTGCTATCGTGTTATTAATCCTAACAGAACAAATGCCCAATGTATTAAGAGCTAAATTCATATGAATCAAATAGATCACTGTGTCAATGAACAAACGCAGTTCATTTTGTCAGCAACTATTCTGACATAAGCACAGCACCGTCCAATAAAATTTTCTGTAAGGATAGTAATGTTCCATACCTGTTCTAATGTAGAAGCCACTAGTTACACGTAGCTACTGAGCACCTGAAATGTGGCTGACACAACTAAGGAATTTTTTATTTTAGTTCATTTTAATTAATTTATATTTAAATAACCACATATGAGTAGTAGCTACCATATTTTACAGCACAGACTTAGGGTTTTCACCATTTCTCACATCAAAAGTAATGTGTTTTATGATCTGCCTTTAATTTATCTTTCTGTTCAATAAAATAATATAACTATTATAAAGTTTTCTGGTAATAAGTCTCCTAAAAATTTGTATTTTAACTTTCTAAGGTGTAGTTCTAGATAATCTGAAGAGGTTGACCAATAGTGGATGAAATCTGAAGATACTATTCCAGGTGTACTGTAAGTCCAATCACTTTATGTATAAGGACAACAACGTTTCAAGATGACTCAAAGACTACAAGTACAATTTTTATTTTTAGTGAGTTTTAGAAAATGGACAAATTCAAATACAAAAAGATAAATCCGTACTGAAGCTTTATGGGGATTTAATGACTGCTTTTAAGTTACACACCCCCTTCCCCCCAATTGTTTATTTCCAAACAGGGCTACATTTTTCACAATCTCAGTAACACATTAAAAAAACAATTCTTACTTATTTTAAAAATTAGCAAGGAACTCACAACTTACATATAAAAAGACTTAAAATAGTTTCTCTAGCATAATAGATTTCATACATATATTACCTTCAGATTGAAAATCTTTTAGTGATACTGTAAGAGGCCTGTCTTTTCCCTGATGATTCTTTCTTTTATCTTTTTTATTCATAACCTTTGATTGAGTTGAAGCACTTTCAGCATTTTCATACTCCTAAAAAGAATTACCAACAATTAAGCTTGGTTAACACTAGTAAAAAAAAAAAAAAAAAAAAAAAAAAAAAAAAAATCAACATACCATTAGGTAATATATTTCTTAAAGTTTTATTTTTTAAAGATAAATAGTAAATTAAAAAGTCAACACATTAGGGGCAGCTGGGTGGCTCAGTCAGTTAAGCATCTGACTTGATTTCGGCTCAGGTCATGATCTCAAGGTTCAGGAGTTTGAGCCCCGCATAGGGCTCTGTGCTGACAATGCTGAACCTGCTTGGGATTCTCTCTCTCCCTCTCTCTCTGCACCTTCCCTGCTCATGCTATCTCTCTCTCTCAAAATAAATAAACTAGCCAAATTGTATAAAAAGATAGCTGTTTTTTTTATTTTTCAACTCAATCTCTTGCCTCTTAAACATTAAAATAAAAACAAAAAGCTATACCTTGGTTTATAACCTCTCCTAGTTGCCACCTCTTCTTCTTTATTTCAGGACCAAACTTAAGACAATCATCTATAGTCAACTTCCTTTCTCACCTCCCCATCAAATCTGGCTTCCTCTGTTCTCTGCCACTAAAATTAAGGTCAACCTCCCTCTCAATGCCAAATCCAAAGACATTATTTTTTCAAACACCTCTTAGTTTCCTCAATACACTTCTAACTACTCTTCAGTCTCCATCACTGGCTTCTTTTCTCCAAACTCTTCTCATCATTATTCCACTCTTAAGCTATTCTTTTGCTTTATGACCCTTGTTTCTCAAAATTTAAAGCTCTAATGATACACTCATGATTTTGGTATGTACAGACAACTCAATTGGAATGTTCAGTAAACATCTCCAAGCTAAATATGTTCACCCTGCCTTCCCTACTGGATCCTCTCGTTAAAGCACCTGTTTAATGCTACCATCATCACACAACTCTGTAGACTAGAAACCTGAGTCACTTCTATCTGTTCTTCCTACACACTATATACAAATTAGTCATGAGGTCTTGTTGAGTTTATCTCCTAAAGATCTCTTACATCTGTTCTCTTCAGACCTTCTGTCATTACTCTATCTTCTGCTGGACATTGCAACACCCTCTAATTTTAGCCCCTCCATCTATCATCTACGCTGCTACAGCATGAGTTTCTAAAATGAAAACCTGAAATAAATCTAACAGTTAACAATAGTCAATAGCTCTCTGACAGCAGATTTATAAAGCCAAATCTCCTTAACCTGGTGCTCAAGATTCTTTAGATCCTATCCTTCAGAAAGTGTCTCTAGCAACTCCAAATCAACTATGCTATACCCTTTCATACACACATATCCTGTATTCTTGCCACCCCTTCTCTGACAATGCCTACTTTCTCTTGCCTACACTGTGACCTTTTATACGACTTGTAAGACTCCTCTTTAAAAATCCTGTTCTAGGGGTGCCTGGGTGGCTCAGTCAGTTAAGTTTCTGATTTCAGCTCAGGTCATGATCTCACAGTTCATGAGTTCAAACACTGGGCTGCCTCTGCTGTCAGCACAGAGCCCACTTCAGATACTCTGTCCCCCTCTCTCTCTGCCCCACCCCTGCATGCAGCATGGGCGTGTGCACACACACTCTCTCTCATAAGTAAACATAAAAAAAAAAAATCCTTTTCTAAAACTCATCCCCATCAAAGGCAAAGAAAATTCTTCCATCTTTCTGAATTACCACTGCACTGAAAACATTCATCTGTCAATACTATACACAGTAATTACGTATACATCTCCCTCTACTAAATTCAAGGGCTGGGACCATATCTTTATCTTTGTATTATGTGCCTAGCACATTTTGGTTACTCAAAAAAGTATTGGTGAATGAGTAATAGAATATAAAATGCCATCCCAAACTTTAGTTAATATAAAGATAGTTAGGCTAAAATAATTATAGTAATTTTTTTTTGGATATTGACTTAAAACTCAATGACTACGTTAATGTAATCACATCAAACTAGCTACTGCATACAAAAGGAGTTCCTCCCTTCTCTGAGAGTCATTATGGTCTGACAGAACCAATGCTTTTGGGTAATAGGCCTATGATTGTGCTAAGAAAACCGGCAGGGATCATGATATTTTATCAACACCATCTACTCTACTCCTCTAAAGATATAGCTAATTCTTTTAGCTTTAGAATCTAGACATGTATCTCACAACAATAAATCATTATTGTATGATAATATTCTATTTGATAAATTTTATCTCTGATTAAGCAAGTCAGGAGAACTTTTTTTTTTTTTTTACACTTTTCCAGTATAACTGAAAGTCCATTTAAATTATTAAATGCGTGAGAAGCCTGGGTGGCTCAGTTAACCTCGACTTCCAGCTCAGGTCACACATTTGATCCGTGAGTTGAGCCTTGGCGCGTCGAGGAGCTCTGGGCTGATAGCTCAGAGCCTGGAGCCTGCTTCCAATTCTGTGCCTCCCTCTCTCTCTGCCCCTCCCCCGTTCATGCTCTGTCTCTGTCTCAAAAGTAAATAAACGTTAAAAAAAAAAATTATAAAAAAAATAAATAAATAAATTATTAAATCGTAGTAAAGCTAGCTGTATCCATTTTCCTAGTTGCCAGCTTTGTGCTTAAATGGACAACTAATAATAAAGATTATAGTTAGTCTTTATTAATTAGGGTAACAGGAATAGGGACATGGAAAATGAAACTAACATACACAATGCACAAAGTCCACTTTACTGGCAACTTTCATCCTTTTCCCTTGCGCTATAAATAAAAAGCAAAATCATCTGCTGTGAATTTTAATTCCTCTCCTCCCTTCATCTTAACTGAAGGAGCTAGTGTACAATGACATAGTCTAAAGGCCCATAAGCATGATCAGGGTCATTTATGATCAACTATAATCACAAACTGAATATATTTTATGGACCAAAAAAATTCCCAATACATATAAAAGACTAAAATGTCAAATTATATGAAAATAATAAATGTTCAACTTAAATACAGACACTAGAAGGCAACACTACTTTAACTTAAATGTTCCTATAGTTACAAGCTATACAATGCTTTTCAGCACATAAGCCAATACCACAATTTAGTTACACAGTTTAAGCGTGCAACTCTTGATTTCAGCTTAGGTCTTTTTTTTTTTTTGAATTTTTTTTTTAATGTTTTTATTTATTTTTGAGAGAGAGAGAGACAGAGCATGAGCAGGGGAGGGGCAGAGAGAGAGGGAGACACAGAATCCGACGCAGGCTCCAGGCTCTGAGCTGTCAGCACAGAGCCCAACGTGGGGCTCGAACCCACACATTGCGAGATCATGACCTGAGCCGAAGTCGGATGCTCAACCGACTGAGCCACCCAGGCGCCCCTCAGCTTAGGTCTTGATCTCATAGTTTGTGGGACTGAGCCCAGCGTCAGGATGTGCACTGACAGCGCCAAGCCTGCTTAGGATTCTGTCTCTCTCTGCATTGCCATTCCAGTTGTCACCTACTCTCGCCCTGGCTCATACTATCTCTCAAAATAAATAAATAAACGTAAAAAAAAAAAAAAAAGGAGTGGGAACCTTTTTTTAAGGAAGAATTTCTTAAGGTGCAAGAATTTCTTAAGGAAACATTCCAAATCACCAAAGTTCAGTCTTCATGTTTTTGTTGCCTCTCAAAACTTGAGGAGTAATCTTATTATAAAAATTTCATAATAATATTGTTATGATGATGAATTTTTAGGACAAGCTTTAAAAGGAAAACTTTTATATAAAATTCAGGAAGGATTGGTCCAAACCTTTGAACAATTAAACTTCTGAAATATCTAAATCAATAAATGTGTAAATACCTTTTTGTGCTCTTCATATTCTAATTTACTTAGCAATAATGCCTTCTCAAGATCTGCTTCAAACATTTCAGATGTCAGCTAAAACAAAAAGAAAGTTTCACAATTATGCCACACAAGCAAAAGAACTATGACTATATATACAGAAAGGAAAACAAATGCATTAAAAAATAACCTGCGTTCTCCAAAGTTATCTCTCCATGCCAAAGTAGGGAACCCTGTATTTTACAGAAGATACCAAGGCAAAACTTCCAATTTTGATATTTCTACTTCCCTATTCACCGTCAATTATGTTTATATATCAATTTTTCCCTTTAGCAAAAAAAACTTACAAAGAAATTGACAATATATTAGATGTCGATGATGGTATCCAGTTTAAGACACAGAAAAATTTTAATAGGGATTACTACTCAAAAATACTAAAAAATAACACAATCAGCATTATAAAACCTACCATTCCCTTAATACAGATAAATCCATGGGTACAGAAACTTTAAACAGGTGACCAAAAAACTTTAAAAGGTGACCAAATGTCCTGGTATATCCCTGATGTTATAGCATAATTATTCATAGTGCATCTTTTTACTCATATCCTTTTATTTGGTTGTCCTACCTTTTAAGGTAATCTAATACTATAAAAAATGATTCTTTAATTTTTGATCTATATTTTTTGGTTCCTCTTTCCCACCAGTCAGTCTCATCTTAACTTCTTATAATACAGCTTCCATTACCCTCTAATCAAACTACTCTCCAAGAATTACTTTTCTTAATTGCCAAACAGAATTGCTACAGTAGTTGGGTGGGACTTCGGGTTTCCACCACGGAGATAAGGTTATATCTGCAGCTGTACACAGGAGAGTCACAACATAAACTTCCTGGACTTGTGTACATGTATGTGTTGACCTATGTGGACTAGATAGTAAAAGCACACATTTAGTGGATATTTCTTGTTTCTGTCTGTTCAGAAACCATTCCTTTACTCCTGTGAATAACTGTATTTCATCCCAAAGTCCTATGATTCTAGTAGGATAGCCGGTTATATAATCCTATATACCACCCACCAACAAACCCACACAAAATCCAAGCTACCATCATCAACGACAGCGTGGGGGCAAGGGATCCAACTCTTCTTTTGATCTCCTAGCAATTAAATTTTGAGAACAAACACAAAGCAAGCAGGGGCTAGTCATGTGACAGCCCTCTACAAATGAGCATGTACTAGTTGTACTAGGTCACTCCTCTAAGTGCTCCAGAATTCTTAGTTTCCATCTTCCCCAAGGCCTACTTGTTTGGTTCTTAATTCAGATCTGTGAAACCTTTCAACAAATGATCTCTGCCAAGTTAATCAGAATTATTTCTACTGCTTGATAACAACAACAAAAATCTAAACCAAAACAGAAACCAACTCCAAAAAGGAGTGATATATTTCCAAGGGATAACTTAAAAATTGGATAAATAGTAACACTGGACACAATGAACTAAAGCTTTTATTCCTAACCAAATCATACCTCTGAAAGCATCTCATCTAAACCTATACCAAGACAACAAAAAGAGGGGCGGGGGAAGAGTAGGTTTATCACAGAAAAAAATTAATCTAATTCAGAGAAAAATGCAATTAGAATTAAAATGGTAAATAAGGGATTATAGCACTAGAAAATACCGTAAGCCCAGAGTAAATTGTACACAGTTCTATAAAATAACTAAAACAAACTGAAGGATTAATTCAACCCAAATTAGTAATAATCAAGAAAAATAAACTAACCTTTTAAGTAATTTACGATACAAAGGGACATTCAAAAACAATATAGTTATAAGGTAAAAAAGAACTGGATTCATGTGTTACACAAGTTTATATCAATTTCTCCACCTAAACTCATAGCCACTGAGTACAAATATTTCTCTGTATGTAAAGCCAAGAAGTCATCCCAACACGGAAAAAGTAACAAAACGACTTGAGTTTATTCTGAACAAAGTTGATTCAATTTACCACTAAACTTTTAATCCACATTAATGACATTTAACATTTATAAAAATTGCATTTAATATTATTTCCAATATATTACATATTCTGACCGATATTCCAAAAATAAGTTAGCAGGCAGAAGAGGTTAGAGAGTTGGGAGTCTTGCAAGATGTCATTATTCTTTTTTCCATTAACTAGTAGCACTTGAATATTAAAGTAGCTGATTCCAATAGTATGATAAAAACTGAATGAGATAGAACTTTTAGTGACAACTATGGTTCTCTTCAGCATTTGATTCTAAATAGCAGTTTAGAACTTTTAATTTTTAACATCAACTAGTATACAAGGAAACATAAGTAGGCAAAAATGATTTAAGTTTCAATTTAAGTTTCTAAGAACTAGAACAAATCTTCCAAAAATATCTGTACGATCCAACAGGATAACAGAGAACCTGGGGCGTCTGGGTGGCTCAGTTGGTTAAGTGTCCAACTCTTAATTTCGGCTCAGGTCGCTATCTCAGTTTCATAGGCTCGAGCCCCATATCGGGCTCTGTGCTGGCATTCTCCCTTTCTGTCTCTTTCTCTGCTCCTCTCCCACTTATGCTGTCTCTGTCTCTCTCAAAATAAATAAACTTAAAAAAAAAAAAAAAGGTAACAGGGAACCTTCTATGTGCTTTGCCTGTAGGGCTTTAAAGAAACAGCATATGTATGGGTTTTGCCCTTAAAGAATTTCTACTCCAGTTGGGGACTAACACATATGAAGTGCAGAAAATAGAATAAGATGTTGAAAGTGCTACAAAAGTGGTGGGAAAAAAACATATACAACAAATAAAATTTAGAGAGGCATACAGAAAAGACATTGATTTAAGTCTGTCCTTAAATGACAGATATAATTTGGACAGGTAGAAAAGGGAATAGAAGAAGTTCAGGAGGAAAGAGCCAAGTGAACAAAGATATGATATTAAAAATAATATATTATGGGTGACACTGATAAAGAAAGGGGATACCTGATAAAGTGTGAATTCAATACAAGAAAGATGTGGACAAAATCCAGGCTTTGGGAGATCACACAGGTGGATAATTTAAATTCCAATTCCATGTATGCTAGCTGTGACCTTGGGCAAATTACAGAAGTTCTGTAAATTTCAGTTTCTTCATATATAAAAAAGGAAATAGAAGTATCAACCTTACAGAGTAGTTTTCAAGATTTAAAGCTATTAATACATGTAAAGTACCTAGCACAGTGCCTGCCTGCCACAAGAGTTACACACGTGAATTAGAATTCTCCTTCTCTATGTTGGAGTACAGTGGAAAATGAGGTTGCTTAGGTAGGGTAGAATTAGATTCCAGACACTCCCTAAAAATTACAGACTAAGGGCAGCTGAAGGAGAAATGCTGATAAAAGTAATTTTAAAGAAATAAACTGAACCCTTATAAAAATAAAGGCTTAGAATCAATGTGTTTGGCTAACCCTCTGTAATCTCAGCATATAGAACCAGAACATAAAAGTACAGAAAATAAAGGCTATATCTTGGAAAAGAACAGCCAAGTTTTAGAAGACTAACTGAACATGAAGTATGAAAGAAGAATGAATTAAAGATAAGATTTTTGATCCTAGATAACAGGGAGAACGGTAGCATAAGACTAAAACTTCAAGAAAGAGAAAGAAAACATGATTCTAAATTCTCTAAACATATCTTACAGCATTAATTAATCATAAGACTACTATAAATACAGTTGTCAACCTAATTCATCAGAACACGTACAGGCAGAACCAACAGGGAAAAAGAAGTCTGAGCCTAAAAGACAGGTACCAGGCAAGAAAACACAAAAATCACCATGATTTTTAAAAAGTATCTTCTATTAAGCTTGCAAATAGAGAATTCTTCATTTATGAGAAGAGGAGGAAAGGAAGAAAAAGAGGAAATGGTAGGTAGGTACTACAATGCCTACAGGATTGAAGAAAATACTTACATGTGCCCAAGATGGAGTACTTCAGAACCCCTTCCTCTTGGCTTCCTTCATTGACTCCTACTCCTCATCTAGTAGTAAAACTTTTTTTTTTTCTATTTAAACAAACCTATAGCTCAAGGGCTTATGATCAGTTAAAGAGTATGAAGAACCAATGAAAAACGGAAAGGACGGTAAACATTTTGGAACTAGATTTTTAAAAATTGATTTGTAAGCCTAAGTACCATAACAATGTTACCCGTTTTAAATTCAAGCAAAACCAATTCTAAATGAAGAGTTACTCCTCATTTCCCACAGGCATCATGGGAACAGGATTTTATAACACAACACAGAACATCATTCTGAAGACCTCTCACGCTTGCAGCCAACTGTTTATTTAGTCACAACAGCAGCAGTGCCCTGTCATCCTCTAACTCCATGATCTTCTGAGTGTGGACCACCTATCTTTCACTAATTTGGAAAGCAGAATTATCTTCCCAGAAATCTTCTAATAGTCTTACTGAACATTATTATTTTAAAGGTTGTCAATGTTCTACAAAAATTGGATCTATGTGTACACACTAATTATCAGGTTCAGTTCATTTTAGTTAATGTATCTTGATGTCTTTTGAGTGTTGTTTACATTTTTTTAAATTTTTTTTACTTTTGAGAGAGAGGAAAAACAGAGTACAAGAGGGGGAGGAGCAAAGAGAGAGAGGGAGACACAGAATCGGAAGCAGGCTCCATGCTCTGAGCTGTCAGCACAGAGCCTGACGCGGGGCTCGAACTCATGAACCATGAGATCATGACCTGAGCTGAAGTCGGACATTTAACCAACTGAACCACCCAGGTGCCCCTTAAAAAAATTTTTTTTTTTTAGTATTTATTTATTCTTGGAGTGTTGTTTACATTTTTTGTCTGCATTTTTGTTGTATGCTCTCTTGTATCTCTAAGGAACAAAACTGGTTTAATCATATACTGAGGGATTAAAAGTAGGAATGAAAACAGACCTATAAACATTGCAACTTCTAAAAAACACCATGAATTTTTAAATCAACAGGACACAAATACAGTGAATACAGAATATATATCTGTTTGTGTCAGGACAAGAGCGATACCATATAAGCAACTGAAAAGGAAAATTATAAATAGAAAATTAAGACAGTGACTATTTGAAATTTTGATTTGTTGAGTCAACCTATTTGTTCCTAGCTGCCTGCTATGAGACATGGTCAGAGCTGTAGCCTGAAGACACCAGTTTTTGTTTCACTTTCAAAGCACAATTGTAGGAGTCTTTTCCAGAACAAGTACCAAGTAATGCTTTTTCCAGAAGAAAAGTGATGAATTTTGTTGCTAAAAAAAGAGCCCCAAAATACAGAGGATTCATTTGAATTTGCACTCCTTATAGAGATATAGAGACACACATGCAAGTCAAACAATTGCCAAGGGTCTTATTATACCAGCCATCAGGTTAATGACAAATAGTATACTCACAAACATAGAACAAGCTATTGGCAAAACACCTTTAATCAAATGGAGTAGAGGATTCAATGTGAAAGAACAATTACTATTGTGCACATGCTAGCAGATAATCCACTTCGGAGTCAGATAAAACCAGTGATGTGCGGTTTGAATCAGTAAGAGGAAGAAACACACAAATTTTGATTGGTTTATCACTAAAAACTTACCATGAGAAGAAATTTTTCTATTCAGTTAATTATTTTTGAGCCATGATGTAGAGTTACAAAAAGGTACACTGGAATCAGTAATATCAATGTATCATGAATAAAGGAGGTATAACTATACCTGAACAATATCTCCACAGATTTATTCCCAGGCAACAGGTATTACTGAACAGTATGTCTCTTGATCTTAATTCAATATTAAAAGTAGTAAAAATTATAAATATGACCAAATCAAAGCAGGCCTATTCATCTGTTAAAAACAGCTTTACTAAGATATAATTCACATACGTCATATATCACATAAAACTTGTGCATTTCAAGTGCAAAGCATATACCTCCTTTTGATGTATACCATTCTGCAAAGAAATAGGAAATATAACACTATCTTTCCAACTCTGAAGTATGCTGAGATGGATACAAGTCTACGAAATGGAAAATGAGATACAAATATTTCTTAAGATACTAATATTGCATTGAAGATTATCTCTACAATTTCTAGCAACTTCCATAACATACCTCAGCAAAATATATAATATCTTGAATAGTCTGAACCTATTCTTTCAGGTCAATGTGTCACAACTTTTAATGTTAAGGAAAAGATAAGAATTAGGATCAAAATGTGTTCTAGGCAGTTTGCCCCCGTTGGTCTTTTAATGGGTAAATTCAACTATTTATATTTATTTATAAAACAAATTATTTGTCTATTATCCTTTTTCATATCTTATTTCAAAGGCTTCCTTGCATCTTCCTTTACTTTATAACTTCTGCTTATATGGACCAGGTTTAATTCTTTTTCTTCAACTGATTTAAAACTTATAGAATGAAAAGTCTTGTATATAAATAGTTCTTTTAAATTAAAAAAAAAAATCACACTTGGAACTATGTATCTTGTCATCAATATGAAAAATCTTAAAATACCTATTGGTTTCCCCAACCTACTTCCTTACCAATTTTTGTGTTCAAAAACAGGGGTTCCGTTCCATTTTAGACAAATTCTTCATGTGAATTATGTTCTCATTAATAACAATTTACAAACACTACTGAGAGTTAATTATGTATTGAACTAGCTTCAATGTTCGCCACTGGTACTTTCCAATTGTGCTCTTTATTTAGATTTGTCTTAATTGGCAAAGAGTGTATCTCAGAAAAATTTGCAGAAAGAATAATGGCAGTATGCCTCCTTAGCCCTTGCATGTCTGGGAATATATTTCTTTAGCATTCAAAAATATGACATCTTGGCTAGATACAGAATTCTTGGTCCTAACATTTTAATTCTGCCATTTAAAGTAGCTGGTCTAATTTTTTACCTGTTTTCTCCCATGCATATATTTATAGTATTATTTTTGTGTCTCTTATTCTTAAAATTAAATACTTTTAAGAGAATTTTTAAAAAGTTTTCCCAAAAAATCCTTTGAAAAAGGCTTAAAAGTTCTTTCAAGCTCAGCTTCAAGTCCTTTAAGAAAATTTTTATCAACATTACCTTTAATGATTGCCTCTATTCTATTTGTTTTAGGGACCCTAACTCTGCCTCTGTTGGATTTCAGTTCTGTGTTCCAATCTATTAGGTTGATTTTCTTGGCAAAATTTATCTCAAATTTTCCTTCATACAATTGACTCAAGTTTCTTCAGTGTATACTCTGTTCATTAGTCTTTCTAGTGAAATTTTAGATTCTATGATTTTACTTCCCCAAAATTTTTTATTTCACCCACCCCTCTTTTCAACTTCTTTGGCACTTTTTCTTTTTTTTTTTCAACGTTTATTTATTTTTGGGACAGAGAGAGACAGAGCACGAACGGGGGAGGGGCAGAGAGAGAGGGAGACACAGAATCGGAAACAGGCTCCAGGCTCTGAGCCATCAGCCCAGAGCCCGACGCGGGGCTCGAACTCACGGACCGTGAGATCGTGACCTGGCTGAAGTCGGACGCTTAACCGACTGCGCCACCCAGGCGCCCCACTTTGGCACTTTTTCACCTCACGTTATATATATCATTACTAATCCCCTTGACTTTTACAAAATGGTCTAGCTCCTTGGTTTTTATTAAAAGAACAGGTGCTGTCTATAATCAACTTCTGCTCCCTGTAATAAATATTTTTCAAAGTATGCTTTCACTCTGGAGACTAAGTACAATGTTCTTTTCCTTTCACATGGCACAAACTTCTTCAGCTGAGATGAGATCAACTAAGTTCCACTGTTTGCTCATATGTAGACGGAGTAGATGCTTGTTTACTATCCACCTGGTTGCTGTTTAATGCCAGCTGTCAGATTTTATGCTGAGGCTCTGTGAAGCCAAAGTCACCTTGGTGATTTAGGAGTAGGAAAGTTTGTCTTAGCATAATTTCTCTCTTGTGATTGAAAAAAGTAGCCACATAACAGGCTGGCTTTCTATAGTCAGCTTTTTGTCTGGCTCAGCCCTCAATACTGGAATTTCTCACTGTGCTGTTTCTTTATTGTGCAGGGAGAACACCCACCATTCTACAGGCTTTTTGCCTAGTTTAGTCACTGCCTGGTCCCTACTTTTAAAATTTGTTATTCCACACAGTAAAATAGATTCCAAATGGTTTACTGTCCATCTGTTCCAAGGTCTGCCTTTATCTCTTTGCCATTCATCGGTGTTAATTATCCTAGCATCTACTCTACTTCTCATGACCTTGATTATTTTCTGCAAGTGAGACTTCCAAATATGCTACCAGGTTTTCCTAAGTGGCCCATCAATAGCATATCCAGCAGAAGTTCCTCAAAGTTCCTGAGCCAGGGATGATATTCTTGTATAGGGCCAGGGCCATGTCAACTATTTCCTTTTCATAATTACCTGGTCATTCTGGCAGCAATCAGTAGGGGCAGGAAGAAGGGCAATCAAATATCTGTGCTCAGGTTCCCACATTACACAAAATGGATTTTGGTGCAAATTTGAGTAGTTTTCCTTCATTAATTTTCCAGTGCTCTTAGGGCCACTGGGAGAAATTCTCTCTGGTGAAGACACTGGTAAATTCTATTACTGTCTAAACAAAGTAGATCATTACATTTATACTTGTAAGAATTTGTCATAATAAATGCCATAGAAGGAAAAAAAGAAATAATCAAATAAAAACTAGAGGGTTTAATACAAGACAATGTATCTAGTATCCACTGCCTGGAAATATCTTTTAAATGGCATCTGCAAACAGCTCTTGTATAATAACTGATGCTTGTGATGATGAGCCTAAGGCACTACACAATCCTAATGAAAATGTGATAACTAATACAGCTGATGTGTTAAGAGCACAGTTTAGTATACTCTAAATCTTTTAAAACTAGTAACTGAAGCATGATAGATATAGCACTCTATTAAGCCAAATATCTGATAAAACAATACCTCTTCCCAATGGATTAAATGACAGTTTAACAAGTAAGCAAATAAGTAACTATTCATTTCTCATACATCCAGTATCTCCTAGAGTACATTCTAGGTTTAGTATGTTATTTTCCTGAACACCACACAGAAAAAGAAACTGACTGGTCTTAAAAATTACCTGATTTGGTTATTACTGATATCTATTTAATAGAAGCACAAAATATCATATAAATAAGTTAAACTAACAAATGTCATATACTATGTTACATCAAAGTTGAAGAGGAAGTTTACCTTCAAAGTTTTTCTTTTTTAAGCAAAACTGTGACTAAGTATTAACAAGAGACCTCTGACCCTGCAAATACTCATCTCTTGACATGAAAGAATTTAATCCTGTTGTTTTACCTTCTGTATCTCTCCCTCACTTGTAAAAAGGCATATAAACTGAAAACTCACAAAATAACTGCTTTGAATTACATAAAATAACAAATATATCAACTTTTTCCTAGATAAAAAACAGAGCCTCTCAGTAAAAGCAAAAGATGTGTGAATTAATCCAATACAATATGCTCATCAGAATAGTGTTGTCATGGATTCAGATACACTGCCATTTTAAAAATGCATAAATTTGGGGTGCCTAGGTGGCTCAGTCAGCTAAGCCTCCAACTCTTGATTTAGGCTCAGGTCATGATCTCAAATCATGAGCTCGAGCCCTGCCTCAGGCTCTGGGCTGTCAGCACGGAGCCTGCTTGGGATTCTCTCTCTTCCTCTCTCTCTGCCCCTCCCCCGCCAAAATAAATAAATAAAATTAAAAAATAATTAAATAAAAATGCACACATTCATCAAAATACAAAGCAAAACAATCTGATTTACTTAGCTGTACCTGTTCATCTCTTTGCCTCCACTCTTGCCAATTCTCTTCTCGTGAATCCTTCTGCACTGGGTTTGGTAATGAAAGCTCATGGTGAGCATTACAAATGGCATGGGAGGATTTCTGGGGAATTTTCTTAAAAGCAAGATTCCTGAGCTATGAAACAAATGAACAAAAATCATTAAATTCAGTCTACCAATTCTAGAATACTAATGATTTTTTGTTAAGAAGTCAATAATATTTCTATTCCACTCATTATGCTCAGAGTCACTATTTGTGCTTTTCTTAATCTTTGTAAAATAATAACTTCACAGGTATTTAGATAATATTGGTGGGTTTCTAAATGAAACAGTAAGTGAAAATGGACTGTATTCTATTATACCATGATTTTAATGATTCTGCTTTACTTAAAGGAAGAAGTTTATAGAAGTGAAAAACAGGATAACAGGTGTACTTTTCACTATGTTGTACACCTGAAGCTAATATGGCACTGTATGGCTTGTGGTGAGCATAGCATAATGGATAAACCTGTTGAATCACTATACTGTACACCTGAAACTAATGTAACAGTATGTGTCAACTACCCCCCCAGTAAAAGAAAAAAATTTTTAAATGGGGATAATGATAATATATCATTACTGATTATTACAGGGTTGTTGTGTTGTTATTAACTGTGTCAACAGATGCAAAGTACTTAAAACATACATACGTGACATACATGACACTCTATGTCAACTATACTTCATTTTTTAAAAAAGCAAAACAGTGGGATTCAAAAAGATTAAAGTTGGGGTGCCTGGGTGGCTCAGTCGGTTAAGTGTCCAACTTTGGCTCAGGTCATGATCTTGCGGTTTGTGAGTTCGAGCCCCACGTCGGGCTCTGTGAGGACACCTCAGAGCTTGGAGCCTGCTTCAGATTCTGTGTCTCCCTCTCTCTCCGCCCCTCTGCCACTCATGCTCTGTCTCTCTCCCTCTCAAAAATAAACATTAAAAAACATTTTTTAAAAAGATTAAAGTTTAATGGCTTACAAATTTAAAAGTTTAAACAACTCCAGCAACTACTTTGCTAGTCCTTAAAAATACAGGGCCTAGTCCACAAAATAACATGATGAGCTAAAATTGGACTGGCTAAACCAGTCTCAAGTAACAGTCACATCATCATGATCTGAGATGCAGCAAGTGAAACAAGAGATAAAACTATTAAGAAGTTGTTATGGATTGAATTGTAATCTCCCAACAGATATGTAGTAGGCCCTAAAACCCTCAGGTGTCCGTGAATGGGACCTCATTTAGAAAATAAGATCTTGCAGAGGTAATCAAGATAACTTACAATACAGTTTCACTGAATGAGAATGGGCCCTAAACCAATATGACTACTGTCCCCACAAGAAGAGGTGAAGACAGAGACACGCAAAGGACGCTAAGTCACAGCAGAGGCAAAGACTGAATGATGCAGCCACAGAAGCTAGGAAGAGCCTAGGAAGGGCTCTACTCAGAGTCTGAGAGAGAGCCTGGCTCTCGCTGACCCCTTGGTTTGTACTTCTGCTCACAGTCTATTGGGAGAGCAGTCACAAATAGTTCTAATTGTTACCTCATTTGCTTCACTCTGTTGTTGTTCCTTCTTTTTTCTTCTTTTTTCTCTCTTTTTCTCATTTGTAGTTGATTTGCTTGCTTGAGACTTTCCAGTATTCCGACCTTTGCCTTTTCCGGGCTCAGAATCAGAACCACTGCCACTATCTACTTGCAATAGGGCAAAACGAGAAGCAGTAGTGGGAACAGAACTAAGTACTGCTGAGGCCATTGTAACGATTTCTATTTTAAAATACTTTTGTCAAGAATAATTCCTGTAGGGAAGGAGAAGAGGCAGATGAGTAAATATGCTCAGTAAAATCTGTTCTAGATTCTAGAACAACACACACACACACACACACACACACACACACACACACACACACTTCTCCCAACACTGGATTTAATAATGGGTTTTTTGGGGGTTTTTTTGTTTGTTTTTTTTTTCAAGTAGGCTTCATACCCAGTGTGGAGCTCAATGCACAGCCCAGCACCAGGCTTGAACTCATGACCCGGAGATCAAGACCTGAGCTGAGACTGAGTTGGAGGCTCAACCAACTGAGCCACCCAGGCGCCCTTGGATTTAGTAATATTTGGATTCATACCCATAAGGCCTACTGGCAATAATATTCTTTTCTAATTTAAGTAAGCAATATACAACTGTAAAATAGAAAATAGAGAAAAGATACGAGATTTCACAACTATTGCAAGACTACCACCAATAAAATGTATTCATTTTTCCATATATGGTTTTCAAAAATTCATGATTTTTTTTCTTTTTTAAGTGTACTGCTGTAATATATACATATGTACAGAGAACATGTTAAACCAACATGGTTTACAATGAAGTAGGAATATTTTTTACATTGCAGAGACCCTCAGTCCAACTTCCAAGACAGGAAAAAGGAGTAGAAAAGGAAAAACACTCCTATCATTCACAAAATACTACCTTAAAATTGATTCTGGAGACTGCTACTAAGTCACAGAACTGACAGCAAAATAGAGAACCAAAGGAAACTTTTTCAAATCACCTTCCACATTATCTTCTGGTTCACTAGCTTCAGCATACCTTGAGTATACCTATACACTTCGGATATTAAAGGTCTTGCAGTAATATCTAACCCAAATCATTTAGTTTTACAGAGGAGGCAACTGGTACTTAGACTGGTTAAGTGACTTGCCTAAGGTCAATCTGCAAGTTATTGGCAGAGTCTCGACATAAACCTAGGTTTGCTGAACCTTGCTCTGCAAGTTCAAAGTAAGAAGCCCCATAACTACTAGAAGACTCTAGAAGACTTGGTACTCTTTCAATTAAAAAAA